CAAAATCCTGGTCGGGTAGTGTGACAAAGAGGTTCTAGCTGGCTTGGCACCAGAAAACGGCGTCGTCATCGGTATATGCTAAGCAGCGCACTTGATATCCAACGGTGACCCAAAACAGCGACATTTTTAGTTTGACCTGACCTGGAAGGTCAATTACTGACCTGAGAAGGTAAAACTGGGTATCATTGGATTCGTCTCTTCCCAAAGAATCTTTTTGGTTTTTACCGCTAAGCTCTATCTCCAACAGGAACGAAATGGCGCGGGGGTGGCACCCCCCCCCCCTCATGTGCGTTCCAGGATGGGAAAATGGCATGTGCGGGCTAGGGTTAAAATAGACGAATGATTCAACATTTTCTTTGAAAATTTATTTTCTTTGAAAATATAAATACAAATATACTAGGGCATGCCTAATTGGCGCTGAGTCGTTTGGACGTTGTGTTTCAGGGCCGGTGACACTGTTCGGCCGCCGGGCCACTCGGAGGAGCAGTGCACCATGCGGCCGTGGCCGGGGTCGCCGCGCGCTCCGGCGGCCGTCGCTGCCGGTCTGTGCGGCTGCTGCCTGCTGCTGCTGGCCGGCACCCGCCTGCCGCTGCGGCCGGTCCCGGTCGGAGCACCGCCGCCCCTGGAGGACTCTGGACGCGTGCTCGGCCGGCCGGTGACGGAGCTGTGGTCCGCCAGCCGGCCCGAGCAGGCCTGGTTCACCGACGACCAGTGCCGGCCGCTGGTCAGCCGGTTCACCCGCGACCAGTGTCTGCCGCTCGTCTACCTGGCGTCGTTCCCCAGGTCGGGCAACACGTGGACACGGTACCTGCTGGAGGCCTCCACTGGGCTCATCACAGGCGGTAGCTCAATGCCTAACTACCGCCAGTACAAAGCACACGCGTTCACGGAGCGGCTCTCAGACGAGAACCTCTGGAAGTATGTAAACCGTCAGGGCCAGATGGTCCGTCTGGGATATTTGGGTGGGTCCATACCCTGGTCGGTAGGAGCCACAATCGTCACCAAGACCCACGCCTGGCCAGAACCATTTACCGAAGAAGAGACAGCAATCGTAAACAAAACAAGCCACAAGTTCTCACCGTTCCCTAAAAATGTTACGCGGCGTGCTATTCTGATTATCCGTGATCCTTTCAAGTCATTCATCTCTTTGAAAAAGTACGGCAAGACCAAATCGGTGTTGAACGAGGACGACATGAGCGAGCTGTTCACGGGCGCCGCCTGGGAGAAGTTCGCCGTGGCCTACGGACGCGTATGGCTCGAGATGAACGCCCGATGGATCGCCAACACGGAGCAGCTGCACGTGGTGACCTACGAGCGTCTGACGCAGGACACGATGGCCGAGCTGCGCTCGATGCTGCAGTTCCTGGACGTGCAGCCGGACCGGCGCCGGCTGCAGTGTGTCGCCGGCGCGCTGGAGGGTCGCGCGCACAACCACCGACACGGCGTGGTGCCGAACGAGCAGACGTACCCGCTGCCGTTGCGCTCCAAGGTGTGGCTCAACATCCACCAGCTCGACTGGCTGCTACGGCAGCGCGGCTTCCCCGGCCTCCCGCTGGAGCGGTACTCCTTCGCCGACGAATTCGGAGACCTGATGGAGGCGTGATGGAGGCCTGATGGAGGCGTGATTGAGGCATGATTGAGGCGTGATTGAGGCCTGATGGAGGCTTGTAGGAGGCGTGAGCCGGAGGTGTGATTGAGGCGTGATTGAGGCGTGATTGAGGCCTGATGGAAGCCTGATAAAGGCGTGAGGGAGGTGTGTTCGGAGGCTCGATGGAGGCTTGCTAGAAGCGCGAGGGGAGGCGTGATGGGGACGTCTTCACCGACATATGACGCCTACGACGTCAAATTGGTGGCGAGTGTCAGCCAGCAAAGCGCCAAATTGGTGCCATATGATTTCAAATGATGTTAAAACTGAGTATCTACATTCTACAGCTATGTGACTGCCACTGAAATGAGTGAGGTATGTAGGTGCACATCAGTCTGCGATCCTGCACGTAAGCGCATATGAATGACTGATGAATGTGCTATGTATGTGATGTGGCTAACGGTACAAAGAAGTTCCTTATACCTCTAACTGAATTGGAATTAATATTGCAATGCCTGGACAACAGACACGGCACCAGTGCCAGGTGGCGAGAGAAGAAATGACCATTTTTAAAGCGTGTTTCTTGCGAAAGCAGCGACGGTGATAGCAATTTGAATCGCGTTAGAACGGATCGAAGGCTGTTAGCCTACTGCACAGACTTGTCTATGTAGAAGGATGTATGTGTCCACTGCCGTTGACTTCTGCATGTATTTGTGTTTGCAATTAAATGAAAAATGAAAACTTGTCTGGGAGAAAAGTCATTGATAAGTGACAACAAACGGAAATTGTCTTCTGCGCTTCGTCTTCCAGGGAGGGTCAAGAATTATAAAAAATGTAGAAATATATAAAATATATATGTAATATGTATATATATATATATATATATATATATATATATAATATTAAAATTGCTTGAGGACTTACAAATATAGGTACACCCAAATACACATCGCTGTTTAGAAGCTCGTCCAGGAGACACACTCGACAGGGAGACGCGCGGTTCGGACTGCAGGGTTGCAGACTGACATCGAGCCTGAGAGCGTCCTCGCACCGCGGGGTGGTAGCAGGGATGGGCTCCCGCAATCCGTCCGCTACGTACCGAATCTCCGCGCCTCCAAGGCCGCTGTTAGAAATTATCCGAAGCTTGGGACTTTTCAATTTAGACAATCACTATTCTTTGGAATTGTGATTTTCTATTGAAAATCCCAACCTGAGCTACCTCTCTAGGGGGACTTTTGTATAACTAAACTGTTCAAAGCTCTGCTCGTCTTACTGGCTCGCTGGCCTCACATTCTTCTAAATGGTGTTTTGCGTGATTTTTACTGTAATGTCCGTTTTTATGGGATGTATGTATTTGTACTGTTTTATTTGCATCCTGATTAGAAGAGATCAACTTTTTGTCACATAAATGTTTTGCTATTTTTGTTGTCATTGTTTGTGACACAAGATGATATAGTGATCCTGCCTCTTCAGGAATATGACATTGACATTTGATGTGAGACTTACAAGGCCACGGTGAAGACGGTCTCTAAGCCCAACTCAACTCAAATCAACTCAACTCAAATTGTGGCGATGTTTCACATTTTTATGGCAACGTGGTGGTCACAAATAGGGCTTCGATTAAAAAAAGCGCCATGTAACACATGCTGTGACGAGCTATGTGCCTGACCTGCCTGTGTAGGTAGAAATAATGCACTTGTATAGAACACAAATATATCACAAAAAGCATCTCACAAACACATCACAGGGTAATTGCCACATACTTTTTATCGAAAGCGTCATAACTCATTAAGCTTATCAGTGGCATCTGGTAAGCAGTAAGTTACATGTAGGAGCTGCAGACGATGATCCACTTCAGTAACGCCACGACGGGCCTCATCTCATTCTCACCCTCGCGCGTGGTCAGCGTGGCGGGATCAAGTTGGCGCCATCACGTCATTATTTGACCGGATTTTAACTACTCGTGCTAGTCGACGTGCCTCATTTGATTTAACCCGGCAGGCGGTGGGCCTACCGGCCACCTTCCACGCGGTGGGGGGGGGGGGGCACTTTTTGCCCCCCCCCGTATCTCCGAAATTACTGGACGGATCCGGAAAATTCAAACGGCGTTCGATAGCCCTGTCAAATTTGTCGAAGGAAACCAAATTTCATTGACCTCGGGGTCACCGATGACGTCACAGGTCAGGTCAAAGATAAAATGTTTCACCGTTCACAGGGCTTCTAGGGAAAGCGCTATAACACCGAGTAAAACGCATTTTGTCGAAAATCAGCGATAAGGCGTCAGTTGTCTAGTACATATGTTGCTATTAGAGGTCACTGGTCATACCAGGTCAGGTCACAGGTCAGGTCACCAAAGGTCACCAAGGGTCACCACATGAGCCCAACTTTACTAAGGTTATGTGATGCATGTTTTATGGCCAGTTTTTCATTTCCAACTCAATGGTGCTGGTTATAAGACCATCAGGTACGGTTTAGGTCACTTTCTGATGTAGATCAGGTCAAGGTCAGGTCAAAAAAGGTCAAATTTCAAAGTTGATAGTTTTGCATAAAATGGGTATCGATTCGATGCAGCTTGTCACGGGGAGTCTAATGGTGGTCTTTGTTTTGCGCTACGAGGTCTAGAATTGCTAAAAATTGAGTTTGAAAATTTGACGTCATCAATTTTGAACAGTTTTTTTCGCTATAACTTGGCCAAAAAACGAGGTATCGATCTCAAATTTGGTATGTAGATAGAAGGCGGTAGGGACTATCACATATATTCCGGTTTTTTCGAAATTCAAAAAACATTTTGGATTTTTTGGCTATTATATTCAAAAAATCTATTTTTTTTTTATTTTTGGGGGTCAAAATCCAATAAATTCGAAAAACCGAAATTGCAGTTTTGTAGCCCTTTTGATTTCACACCTTTTATGTCTGAAACATTTTTCTGTATCTCTAAAGCTGTGGGCCTGACAGCTCTTCCCGCGAAACCTTTTTTGGGTCGAAAATGGCAAAAATGACGTCACTCTTACGTCATTAGCGGCCAACCTATCATAGCCTTTGGAAAAATTTTTGGTCACCATGTGCGCTAGCTGCTCCCGGGAGGGTACTGAAAGTTTGGTGACGATCGGCGCAGCGGTTCTCGAGATATATCGAAAAAAGTAAAGGGGGGGGGGGCAAAAAATGCCCCCCCCCCACCGCCTGGAAGGTTAATTTCGTGTCGCGGAATTTAAACGTACATGAGCTTAGTAGCTTACAAACGAAGATGGAGACACTAATTTCCATGAAGAGAATGTGTGTCTTCCTCTAGGCTCATACCTCGTTTACACAATGGGGGGGGGGGGGGCACTACACTTTCCCTCAAACAGTTGCAGCAGACAGCACGAGCATATTCTGTTCTGAAGGCAAGTCTTTGACCTGTGACTTCTGTCGGCAGTTCTGGGAGATCATATCCGACGAGCACGGCATCGACCCGACCGGCGCCTACCATGGCGACTCGGAGCTCCAGCTGGAGCGCATCAACGTCTACTACAACGAGGCCAGCGGCGGCAACTACGTGCCGCGCTGCATCCTGGTCGACCTCGAGCCCGGCACCATGGACTCGGTGAGGTCAGGACCGTTCGGGAAGCTCTTCAAGCCCGACAACTTCGTCTTCGGCCAGTCCGGCGCCGGCAACAACTGGGCCAAAGGCCACTACACAGAGGGCGCCGAGCTGGTCGACAGCGTCCTCGACGTGGTCCGCAAGGAGGCCGAGGGCTGCGACTGCCTGCAGGGCTTCCAGCTGACGCACTCCCTTGGAGGCGGCACCGGCTCCGGCATGGGCACCCTGCTCATCTCCAAGATCCGCGAAGAGTACCCAGACAGGATCATGAACACATACTCGGTCGTGCCATCGCCGAAGGTGTCTGATACCGTCGTGGAGCCGTACAATGCCACCCTCTCCGTTCACCAGCTGGTCGAAAACACCGACGAAACGTTCTGCATCGACAACGAAGCGCTCTACGACATCTGCTTCCGCACGCTGAAGCTCGCGAACCCGACCTACGGTGACTTGAACCATCTCGTCTCACTGTGCATGTCCGGCGTCACCACCTGCCTCCGGTTCCCTGGTCAGCTGAACGCCGACCTCAGGAAGCTGGCCGTGAACATGGTGCCCTTCCCGCGTCTGCACTTCTTCATGCCGGGCTTCGCGCCGCTCACCTCTCGCGGCAGCCAGCAGTACAGGGCGCTGACCGTGCCCGAACTCACCCAGCAGATGTTCGACGCCAAGAACATGATGGCCGCCTGCGACCCGCGCCACGGCCGCTACCTCACCGTCGCAGCCATCTTCCGTGGACGCATGTCCATGAAAGAGGTGGACGAGCAGATGACACAAATGCAAGATAAGAACACAAGCTACTTTGTCGAGTGGATCCCGAACAATGTCAAGGTTGCTGTGTGTGACATCCCACCCCGTGGTCTCAAGATGTCCGCCACCTTCATCGGCAACAGCACCGCCATCCAGGACCTCTTCAAGCGTATCTCTGAGCAGTTCACCGCCATGTTCCGGCGCAAGGCTTTCCTGCACTGGTACACCGGCGAGGGCATGGACGAGATGGAGTTCACCGAGGCCGAGAGCAACATGAACGACCTGGTGTCCGAGTATCAGCAGTATCAGGAGGCCACTGCAGACGATGAGGGAGACTTTGATGAAGAGGAAGATGAGGGTGATGTCGAACAGGCCTGAAAACCTTGGAGGCAGCGCTGAGCACTGGCGGATCCAGACTTGCGTTTTGGGGGGGGGCCAACTCCTGCAAGTAACCAAACCTAGGGTACCCCCAAATCCTGTTTTCTCATCGGATTTAGGCCACTTATTTTTTCGTCACAGCCCTGAAACGATATTTTTTTAAAACTAAAAATAAAAAATATAGAAATGGTAGCCCACCCAACCCGAGCCTAAATATTACTTTGAAAACACTTCAAATTGCTTTTGTCGACCAATTAGCCCGCTCCGGGTCGGTGCGTGGCGCAGCCTTCGCGGGCTGGGAGGTGTCGGTTGGACCCCCTGCCGTTCGGCCCCTGATTAAGCTAGAGCTCGCGGAAAAAAAAACAGGCGTGTTGCCCGTGAGTGACGAGACGAAGCCGATGATACCCGATTTTAAGGTCCTTTGTCATTGGTTGATCTTCCAGGGCGGTGTTTCACGGTCGTGCTGACAGCCGCTGACAGCGCATTCCGCGAGCTAAGGTCAGCCTTCGGTAGTGTTGTGGGTATAGGCTTGTTGATGTCTCCATTGAAACCAAAAGTGCCATCAGCGCTGGCAGCGGCTGGCAGCGTGCCGTGAAACACCGCCCAGGTCAGGTCACAGACCCAAAAGACGGAAAAATCAGGACCTGTCAGAACCTCCTAAAGTAAGGCTGTAATACGTTTTTTTTTTTGTGCTGATCACAAATTTCATGTTAGTTTGGATCATAGATAATGTCTTCATGCGTTTAGACCATGTCGGGGCAGGTCAGGTCAGATCAACCAGTAGGGGTACTTATGGGCGTCCGTATAGCAGGTGTCCACTACCACTGGCAGCTACGTAACATGATACGAAGGCATCAAAACTACTTCGTAAATGTTCAAATGGCTGCAAAATGCTAAATTCAAAATCAGCTAAACGAAACTATCCTAGAAACATGTTAAACTCGGAAAAGTGCACCGAGGTCATCAAAGGTCAATGACCTGACTTGACCGTAAGGTGACATTGGCATCCGCCCTAATGCGTGGGAGCAACATCATATCACATGTTTGAGCGTTTTAAACCACGAAAAGACTATGAAAGCGCGGATAATGTGAGCCGACATACGCCGAATCGCTATTCCGGCCAAACATGGCCTCCAACATGGCCAAACATATGGTGCGTTCGGAGAGGCACATTCCACGTGGAATCCGTTGAATATTCCATGCGCGCGGAATATTTCCGGAGATTAGCCGTTCAGAGAGATACGCCTCCGAACGCGGCACGGGGAATATTCCCGGGGACGGTGAATATTCCATGCTCTCCGAACGCACGGATAGTCTCGAGAAATAGGCCACAAGTCAAAGTTCACTTGGGTCAGGGTCATGAAATTTTCAGACTTTGTCACCATGAGGGTACTAAAGTTTCGTCGCGATCGGCTTCATGATACCTTACACGATAACTTCACACGTCGATCGAGAGTTAAAGCATGGATGAAGGAGAACCAGGGGATGAAGGTTCTTTCATCCATGGTTAAAGTGTGCAATAAGAACTTCTTGGGTGAAGACAAGACCAACACTTTTATCAAGCTCACAGATTTTTAATGATACGGTATTTTCTCTCTACCTACTACGCCCTTCTCACATTCATTTTTCTTAAGTGTTTTTGGGGACAAAAAATATATGTTGTTCCCCTTTCAGGCTTGGGGGCATGACCCCGTGGCCCCCCTGGATCCGCTAGGCCGAAACTAACTAGGTCGTTTTCAAACGGTCTGATATTTCAGGTCATAGTTTGCAAACGGCCGGTGTTTTCAGGTAGTTTCATATGGCCTGACTGGGCCAGGCCGTTTGCAAACGGACCGAATTTTCATACGGCCTGTAACATATATTCAGATTTCGACATCTGTCGTAGCATCAAATGCTGATGTGGCGCACTCAAAAGCCGGAATTGGTCCTTGGATGCCGTAAGGACCCTTTTAAGAAATAAGTGACCCGACTGACCCTTAGAGATTGGCCTGAGCTGTGACCGAAATAAGTCTTTTACCGTTTCGCAGGAAGGGACAAAAAGGTCCCTCATATGCTTCTTGTACAATTACGAAACAAAACAAGTTTTTTTTTTCAACGAAAACTCAGGGAGTTTTCCTAAAAAATTTATTGCGCATATTCCGTGAATGAAAAGTTGCCGGGTCATGTCAGGTCAGGCTGCCACAGCAAGTTTGTTAACTTGACAGCTCAATCGATATTTATGCAATAAGACCTTCTCGGGTGACGATAAGACATGACGACACTTTATGAAGGAAGCTAGTAAACCCGGTAGTTTCTCCATAGGCGCGGGAACCGGGGGGAGGGGGCAGTGGTGGCAGCTTGCCCCCCCCCCCCCAACTCTGGGGCCGTGCGGGCGGTGCCCCCACAACTTTCAGACAGAATATCGCTCCTTTTTGCAAATGTTTTCTTTTTTGTTGAAAAAGCCAAGGGATGAAAAATAAGTGGCCTAAAACCGGCGACAAAACTATATTTGGGGGATCCTAGGTTGATCTCTATCATGGTGTGACCTCCCCCCCCCCCCCCGTCTAAAAGTAGTTCCCGCGCCCCTGGGTTTCTCTACGCTATTGAATCACGCTGCTGATTCTAGTAAGTATCTACTACACAACCTTCTCACATTAATTTTTCTTCGAGCGTTTTGGGGGGCCAAAAGATTGATGGCCCCCTCTTTCAGGCTTTTTGGGCCCATGGCCCCGGTGGCCCCCTTGAATCCGCCAGTGGGGGCGGTGCCCCCACAACTTTCAAACGGAATACCGTCCTTTTTTGCAATTGTTTTCTTTTTTTGTTGTTGAAAAAGCCAAGGGATGAAAAATAAGTGGCCTAAAACCGGTGAGAAAACTAGATTTGGGGGGACCCTAGGTTGATCTCTATTATGGTGTGCTCCCCCAGTCTGAAAGTAGTTCCCGCGCCCCTGACTTTCTCTACGCTATTGAATCACGCTGCTGATTCTAGTAGGTATCTACTATACGCAACCTTCTCACATTAATTTTTCTCCAAGCGTTTTGGGGGGGGCCAAAAGATATGTTGGCCCCCCTTTCAGGCTTTTGGGGGGGGCCATGGCCCCGGTGGCCCCCCCCCCCTGGATCCGCCAGTGGCGCTGAGCTTCATAGCAACGTAATCGTGGATATTTATGACGATTTCCCTAAGTTGACGTTCGATGAATGTTTGTTCTCAAGAAACTAAAAACGCGCATTCCGTTTTACCACAGAAGTTCAGGGTTTATTCTTGTCTGTTATGAGTATTATTTTACGTTGCACGCGATGCTGTGGTGCTCGGCTTCTTGGATAATAAATATAACTATTCTTATCATTGCTTTGTGCTACGATTATCACCTGCGTAGTTTTCAACAACAAAACCCACGCCGTGCCGGGGGGGGTGTTTGAACCCCCCCCCCCTGTGGTTTTTCGCAGATGTCTCAAAAACAGCGGCGCGGAGCGCCGCCGTTTTTGGCACACCTGTTCATGCATCTTTTCCGCACATGTTGTGAAAATTTCAGACCCAGGGCTCTCAAGGTCAGGTCACCAGGTCAGGTCAAGTGACCTCACCTCAGAAAGTTTCAATCCCCGTCATAGCTACACCGACTGAACGATTGCCTTGAAACTTTCAGCGATTGATAGGAGTAACAGTAGGTATGTACAAAATGTATATCTCGGAATTTTGATATCGGTTTCAAAATGTTGAAAAAGTCAACATTTTACCTTTGGTGACCTCTGGTGACCTGACCTTTGACCTGAACCAAAAGATGACTGAAGTGTTTTTGTCCTTATTTTGGATGTTCTTTCGATTGCCGCTTACCGCGTGTCGCTACGTGGCCCAGGAACCGAGTTGGAAGGGGGTGTTCAGACTCCCCCCCCGGCCCGACGCGGAATCTCAGAGCACCGGCCCGGCGTGGGATAATACATCGAAGGCATCGATATATTAATAAAAATCCTGTAGAGCTTGTTTCAAGCATAGGCGGCGGAACAGGGAGGGCAACGTGGCACCGTGCTTCCTTTGATTTTGACATTTTAACGTTAGCCCTATGGGCGTTGCATGGAAAGAATGGGACCAAAAGTCGGCAGTGCCCCCCCCCCCTTAATTGAAGGTGTTCCGCCGCCACTGGTTTCAAGACTTGCATTTTGCAATTGTGGTTGCGAAATATCGTCAACATTTTAGGAGCAAAAGGTGGTGCCGCAACCCTTTGCTTTCCAGCCCCCACCCCCTCCCCTACCGGGCGCCGCGAGTGGAATTGCGAGGGACACAACAGGTCTAACAGAGGCACCACAGACCTTGCAAGGGCACCATCAGCCTTGCAGGGACACATTGGGCCTGTCAGGTGCACCACGTGCCAGTCGGGGCCACTTCAGGCTTGTCATGGGCGCTACAGTCCTGTCAGAGGCCAAGGGCACCAGCGGCCCAGCAGGGGCACCAGCACCACAGGCTTGCCAGGGGCACCACCACAGGCCTGTCAGGGACAACACCAACCTCTCGTTGGCACCTCAGGCTTGTCAGGAACATTAACCCGCGCCCTGATGGGGGGGGGCATTTTGGCCCCCCTGTGGTTTTTCTTAAATAGCGAGAAAACGGCGGCGCGCAGCACCGCCAAATTTTGGGTACCTTACCGAGCATCAATTTGACGCCTTCACACAAAATTTCAAGTCACAGGTCACCTCAGGTCAGGAGTTATTGAGGTCAAACTGAGGTCATATTCGAGTAAAAATGAGCAAAAAACATGACATCTTGAAACGCTCACCAATTCTATTTAACAAGCAATTTTAAATTTCTTTATGTGGTTGTGTAGAGAAAAGACGGCGCTACAAAACTGTTATCTCGGATTTTCGAAATTTTGGGATTTTAACCCGCGCCCCACGGGGGGGCTATTTATAGCCCCCCTCCCGTTTTTCTGCAATAACTTCCAAACCCCTTGACGTATCGACGCCAAACTTTCAGTACCTTCGGCTGCATTAATTTGACACCTTGTGTCAAAATTTGAACTTCGTAACTACTATAGGTCGGCCGGAAATGACGTCAGAGTGACGTCATGTTCGGCCGATTTCGACGCAAAACATTGAACCACGGCAATCGCTCCCAAGAACTCAGTTTTTAAGCTAGATCCAATTTCTTTGCATGAGAGGACTCAGAATAGTTTGCGCTATCAAACTGCTATCTCGGATTTTCGAAATTTTGAAAATTTGGAAAATTTAATATAATAAAATCCAAATTTCATATTTTTACATTTTTTTCAAAACGTTTTTAACTTTTCGAAAAAACCGGAATATATGTGATAGAACGCATTATAATGACTAACTCTAGCAAATTCTAGCTTAATATCTTCAAAAATGGCCAAGTTTTACGCATTATTGCAAAAAATTCACAATTATTATTTTTTTAAATCAATTTTTTCAGCACGCATTTGACATCGTACGCCAATATAAATAGCACCAACGTGTTCCTGAGCTCAAACTGCATCCAATAGACACCTTTTTTGTTGAAAAATTTCAACCTCAAAGTTTGACCTTTTTTGACCTGAAAGTGACCTGACCTAAGCTAAATTCGACTCAAAATGACCTCGAATGACACAGAAGACATCAAATTCGAAATATCTGACCTAAATGGACCATAAAACATGTGTCACGTGACCGACGCATGATATAATATTTTCGTGACCTGTGATGACCTGACCTTGACCTGAAAATCAAAGTACAAGTTTGGTACCCTCAGGGTAACTAGAGCATCTGTTCCCGAGTGTGTGATCCAAAAATGAGCCTGATCTGACTTGTAAGACGGCGCCCAGAGCCCAAAACGTGAACAAGCCAAAATGCTAAACATTTTTACTTTGACCTGACCTGTGACGTCATCGGTGACCTTGAGGTCAATGAAATTAGGTTTCGCTCGACAGTTGTTCCGGGGCTATCAGAAGCCGTTTGAATTTTGACGATCGGCCCAGTAGTTTCGGAGTTAGGAGGGGGGCTATGAATAGCCCCTCCCCCCCCCCCCAGTAGGTCGTGTTATACGCAGACCCCAGTGGGGCGCGGGTTAACCCCCAAAAAGAAAAAGCTGATTTTTTAGAAAAACTAAAAAAAATTCCAATTTTTTTTCGAATTTCGAAAAAACCGGAATATATGTGATAGTCCTTGCGCTCTTCGATATACATACCAAATTTTAGATCGATACCTCTTTTTTTGGCCAATTTATAGTTAAAAAACTGTTAAAAATTGATGACGTCAAATTTTTGAACTCAATTTTTAGCAATTTTAGACCTCGTAGCGCAAAACGGAGACGACCATTGAACTCACCGTGACGAGCTGCATCGAATCGATACCCATTTTATGCAAAAATATCAGTTTTGAAATTTGACCTAATTTGACCTGACCTTGACCTGACCTTGACCTGACCTTGACCAAAACGTGACCTAAGCTGGCCCTAAAGTCTGTCTGACCCACATAATCGCATTTGTCATGTAAAATGGACCATAAAACATGTATCACACGACACTTTCATATTGTGACCCCCCAGTGACCTGACCTCTGTCACTTGACCTGGTATCAGTGACTTCAGATAGCAAAATATGTGTTTGAAGAACATTTCCCCATCGATGATTTTCAATGAAATGCATTTTACTCGATTTTACAACGCATTTCTTGAAATGCCTGTAAAGGGTGAAAATCCGACCTTTGACCTGACCTGTGACGTCATCGGTTTGACTGAGGTCAATAAAATTGGGTCACAAGGTAGTTCCCCGTTGGGGCTATCCAACGCCGCTTACCGCTTGTCCCTATGTTGCGTGGTTCTCGAGATCTTAGGGGGGCCAAAATGCCCCCCCCCCCCATCAGACCGCGTTGCTCGGCAGACCCCATCTGGGCGCGGGTTAAGGGTCTGCGAGGATCCATGTTGAAAAAAATGAAAATAGGGCAACACCTTAATAAAGTGGTCGAAACCAAGATTCGCGATCCGTTGAGTTTTTTTTTATTATTATTTTGGGCTTCCGAAGGCCATTTACAACGCGAACACAGAAATTGGTAAGCTTTGTATGCGCTGGAGCAGCTCCTAACGGCACATGGTGCAGCTTTTCACGGCGGCTCCTCGACGACGTGAAAAGCTGCACCATGTGAATACCATATTTTGACTGTTCGATCCTTTTCTCATACGATCATTTGGCGTACGATCATTTACCTCGACGATCTTTTGCAAATACGATGCTTCGTCCATATACGAACATTATACTGTACGATGTTTATCCCCTACGATCTTTTGACATACGATAATTTTCCTTGACGATCTTTTGCGAATACGAGCTTTTGTCCATACGAGCATTATGTCGCACGATCTTTATCAATTACGACTTTTTGGCATACCTACCTACGATCATTTTTTCTTGACGATCTTTAGCGAATAGGTACGATCTTTTGTCCATACGAGCATTACATCGTACGGTCTTTATCCATTACGACTTTTGGGCATACCTACGATCATTTTCCTTGACGATAGCGAGTGGGTACGATATTTTGTCCATACGAGCATTATGCCGTACGATCTTAATCCATTACGATATTTTGCATACGATCAACTTCCGACGATCTTCTGCCACGCGATCTTCTGCTTTACGATCTTTTGTCCGGTTACCGAATGAATTTGGGTTACGGACAAAAGTACGTATCGCTAAAGTACGTAGGACAAAAGTACGTAAGCAAAAGTACGTAGGATTAGAGTACGTATCGCAGAAGTACGTACAGTATAAAGTACGTATGGACAAAAGTACGTTAGGGACAAAAGTACGTATCGCAGAAGTACGTACAATATAAAGTACGTATGGACAAAAGTACGTCAAGGACAAAAGTACGTATCGCAGAAGTACGTACAGTATAAAGTACGTATGGACAAAAGTACGTCAGGGACAAAAGTACGTATCGCAGAAGTACGTACTATATAAAGTACGTATGGACAAAAGTACGTCAGGGACAAAAGTACGTTCGTAGAAGTACGTAGGGTATAAAGTACGCAAGGACAAAAGTACGTCACGGACAAAAGTACGTATTAGTATAGCTAATGTACGTTGGGTAAAAAGTACGTATGGACAAAAGTACGTCACGGACAAAAGTACGTATCGCAGAAGTACGTAGGGTATAAAGTACGTATGGACAAAAAAGTACGTCACGTAGGTACAAAAGCCTACGTATAGCAAATGTAGGTACGTAGAGTAGGGTAAGGTGCCTAATTAGCGACCCCCTTAATTTGAACCGTCATTGCTCACGCTCTGTGGGTGCCACTGTGTTACTGGCTTGATTTTCGAAGAGATCGTTCATTTTTCTAAATGTAGTCATTTTCTGCCCCAATATTCACTAAATTATTTGTAGTGAGCATTTTGGCAAACCATTGCAAAAAAACGCTAATAGGGAACTCTTACCGATTAGCGACCGGGGAGGGTCGCTAATAAGTCTATGGGTTTCCCCATATTAAAAATGGTAAAAAATGCGACGCCTGAAAAGATGAAATATGATCTCAAAAAGGTAACCTATACGCAAAGCACTCAATCACTCGAACAGGAACGTTTATCCAACACATTTACGTAAGTAAAAACTGATCACGTGATGCACCGAAGGCGAAAAGAAGGCGGAAACCCAAATTTTGCGGGCTATCTTGTTTGATATTCGAGGTCCGCGCTGAATTCGGCACCCCCGCAGTCGGTGACGACATTTGGCATCCCCTGCCACACATTGCAAGCTTCAGAAACACCTCATTTTCATTTCCCTCTTTTCCCCTTTCTTTCCCTTCTTGAGCTATTTGCGACCATGTCAGGCGCAAATAGGAAATATGAGTTGCGACACATTTTTAACCGCCATGCTGTGCACAGTTGAGCGATTCACTATGGGAAAACAACAATCAATTAAAAAAGGAATGTCGATTCAGAATAAAAAAGGTGCATCGTCCTAATGTGCATCGCTTTTCATTAGAGAGGGCCTAAACACACACGTTTTGGATAAGAAACTCGTCATTTTTATTTAAACTTACCGGAAACGTCCCACCAGAAACATCGACGACCGGAAAATAATTTAATTTGATAACGAAAGTATGGTTGACCTTTTGACGATGTTTTTACCCCGTTTTCTCCTGCCAGTTTTTCTGTAGGGAGGTAGGTCGCAAATCGGAAAGGGTCGCTAATTAGGCACCTTACCCTATAAAGTAGGGTAGCCTTGGGCAAGACGCCCCAGATAATTTATTTTGCTACATAGGTACCTACTTTTGTCTCACACGACCTGGAAGGCCAAATTTGTGCTCAGTGTGTTCTTTGGACATTTTACTTTAAATTCCACACACAAAGAAATATTGACACCGTTAGCGGTGTTATTGCACAGTACATATCTGAGCACTTGAGGAAGGTTACTTTAGTCCCTTCCCCGCTTAAATTATTCGCATTGGCTTCTAAATGAACACCAAGAAGAAGGTAATAGAACACTGTTAGGAGGGTTGGGTGTTTTACTACACCATGATATAACGTTAACGGTGTTAAATTACCCTGAAGCTCTTTTTAAAAGTATGCTATTACCCTTTCGCTACCCCGTTTACGCGGTTAAAAAACACCCTAGAAGACCTTTTCAACAAATAGTACATATCTGAGCAGTTGAAGGAGGTTTTTTTACACCCATGGTATATCTAGGAAAACACTTTTCATCTACTAAAAATATACTTCTACGATTCTATTAATACAACGATTTTACTTTTATAAACCATATTATAGGTATTAAAACACGTGCATAATAAAATAATACCGTTGACTAATCTTAATATTTCAGGATACATAACATCCGTAGCTTCCTGCAAATGTCCAAACAAAGTGCCTCAACGAATGCAAGACATGTTTATTCGCATTTTTGAAACACTGGTGTCGTAAGCCAAGTATAACGAAATCGAAAATCACTATTTACGGCTAAGTTAGCACTTTTGCATCTCGCGATGCACAAGCTCAAGCTTTGATTGTTTTGCAAAATAAGACATCCGCTAATAAACACAAAACAATTTGTCATCTATTGTAGGAGTTAGAACAGAACGCAGAACAAGTGGAACAGAACATGTGTCTTCGAATGCCTTAAACAAAGGGTACACCAAAAACTTAAGCAGCAGCAACGCGTGAAACACACTCAATGACGTGGAAACATCCAACACCCGATACATAATCAAATTAAATTCTACTGTCTCAGTGATCCCCTAACTCGCTAATCCCAAAGTAATTTCCTGCGCATAATGACTCGCACTGCGGCACTGGTGTAGTCAACCTATAATACGAAACAGGAAATCACCATGGTGCTATACTGCAAACAAAGATCTTGTTATCATGACAACGGCCTTTAAGAAATGCAGCACAGCTTTTGAAAGTTTTCAGAAAATTCAGGTTTGCTTTTTCAACAGAAAAAAAACAACTCTAACCGAGTGCGTCCGCATTATTGTCCCTTATGAGATTATTATCCTGTATCAATCACAATTCGACGCCGTCTCGTTGGAGTTCGCCACTGTTTGGCTGGCCGTGATCACAACAGCTCATAAGTCCACGAAGCTGTCCCACAGCTTTGGCTGACTCTGAAACAAGCCAGAAGACCCGCGCTCATTTAACGATCCTTCATGTAATGCCTATTTAGGTACTTTGATGAGTCATTCGATACTTGATTCGCAATTTACTTTCATATACCCTCCGGAAATAAAAACACGGTCTTGACAGTTATTGAGCCTATTCCGGGCGGGGGTATTCAGCTCATACTTGGTGACTTTTCCTAAATGTTAATTACGCAAATTTCAGCAAAAAATGACGTTTCAGGTCAGGTCAGGTCACCAGAGCGGGTTTTTTGACCCCACCTTAGAAACGTTTGCAATCTGCACGTCAGAGCTAGAGTTTTTCACGGATCGATTTCCTCTCTTCAGGTCATGATTACAGTACCAGTATGTGTAATTTTTATATATAAGAATTTGCATATCTGTGACCTGAGGTCGGGCCAGAGTCGTGATCTTTACATTACAAGTCTATGTAAAAATATTGAAATGCGTCCTGCTTTGAGTAAACGAGTCAAAACCATCGGATTCTTTCAGGATTATGACAGATTATCTGATCTGTAATGACTCAGATGCCATTTACTGACAGGGATACTGGGAAGGGTCATCCGAGGTCATGTGACGTCATCAATGGTTTTTAGCTAATAAATCACGATATGAATGGTGCTAAATACTTCTAAATGTACCAAACTGTTTGCCTGCAGTTATGACGCTTTGATTGGTATCCAGCGACCAGCGTGATCTTCTTTGGCCAAATTTTAAAGTTGACCTTTTAAGGTCATGCAAGTGTAGCGTGTACTCAACGGGAAAGAAAGCAAGAACCTAGGCCAAGATACAATAACGAGAATGAGATTTAGCGAAAACAAACAGACAGTCCCGAAACAGAGAACCAAGGGCCCTAACGCAGCGAGCCGGCCGCAGACCGCGTTCGCCCGACTCCGCGCTCCCGCTCATTCTACTCGCCGCCGCGCGGCGCACCCCGTCCGCCCGACCGCCCGGTCACGTGACCAGTGGGCGGCCTCAGGCGGTAGCCGTTCACCGGTCGGCCGGCCGGTGGATCACCAGCCGGCCGCGCGCGACACGGTATATAGGGCCTTGCGCGACACTAACACTACACAAGTTGAAGTACCTGTTTCAAACATTTTATTTTTGATGACCTCTGGTGACCTCAATATTGACCGGACCTAAAAAATATATATATCAAAGTTGTAGGTCTTTCAACAAACTATCAAACGCCGTTTACCGTTTGTCGCTCCGATTAGTGGTTTTTTAGATTTGAAGGGGGTCGAAAAGGCCCCCGCCCGATTCCGAGCCTTCCAGAGCCCTCCCGGAGTAGGGTTATAGCTTACCTTCGCGACAGGCGCACTCAGAAAAAGCTCCTGCAACCGGACGCATCGAAACAGTCTAGCCTCCTCCACGTTTCCGCCTCAGTCATCCTGTTACTGCTGTATCTGCAGTCTGCAGTCACGCCATTCCACTTCTATTCTCCACTTAATCTCCACGATATGCACCGCACAATTTGATAAACACCACTGATTCTTCATGATCTGAGCACTGCCAATGCGCTCCACGCCTCAGCCGACCAGACTGAGAAAAATGGCGGCGAACGCGGACGCGCATTCGTCCTTTTGCGCATGCGCGAAAGGAAACCCCCGTAAGCTACTTAGAGAACACCTCCACAGATGTTTTACACCTTTAAGAAGTAACGGGCGTCTTTTAAAAGTATTTACAAGGTAATTGTAGGTCGCAAGGTGCAAACGTACCGCTTTGATGTCGTTTTAATACCTTCTTCGGTGTACATAAACTGATCCCATTTTTTATAGTCTAGATATACTTTTTGTACCTCAACGGTGTTTGATAACCTAACCACCTTCATTTCTACTTCGATAAAAAAAGAAGGGATGTGTTATGGAAGCGTACGATCATTCTTTTGAAAATACCACTCACCTTAAATAGTGCATTCGGCGTAATTGTAGTCTCTGTACAATATTCATGAAATACTTTGGTGTAAAATAAACCAGCTCGGTGTTAATATTTTTCTGTGTGCACCTCTCAAATTCATTCACTTTGGTCGGACTCCCAGCTAGGAAGTGCTTTGTGAAGCAACTGCAAATGGGGCATTTGCCCCAACCCCAAGGCAAAACGCCCCACGGCCTGAGGCAAGAAGCCCCATACACTAGATTAACCCTCGCGGGCCCGGGGGGCGTTTTTCGCCCCCCCCCCCGGCAAATATTTGCGATAGCTCCCGAACGTTTATAGGGATAGGAAAGCGAAACTTTCAGTACCGTTTCTCCCATCAATTTGACATCTTCTGAAGTAAAAAATTTGGACCTAGCCCTATTGATGACGTCACAAAGTCGATTTTTCTAGACCCCTGCACGGCAAACTTCGGTGTCACAGACGCGAACTTCAAATAGCTGCTAAAAATAGAGTGTTAGAGATAAAGACAAATTACAAGCACGGTTGTGTAGCGTTTGACCTAGAGAAAAATACAAAAATAGTTTTAGTGACCTGAGGTCAGAGGTCAGGTCAACGACCCCGAGCTGTGGTTTTAGCTTTTCGCCAATAACTTCGACAAAAATGGTCCTAGAGCTACGGCAGTGGTACCATCGCATTTGCCTTGTCAAGCCGCGTCGAATGATATATATTTTGTTTGGAAAAGGACAAGTTTTATGTTGACCTCATGTGACCTCGAATGACCTTTGGTTGACCTTGACACACCAAAAGTCGTGTATGATGGATTCCTACCCGCTGATCACGTATCTGGCATCTATTTTCCTCTAAGCCTTTATTTAGAGCCTCCGGATGGCAAAATTGTCTTATTTATTATTAGTTATTACTAACTTGAATCAGTGAAATAGCCTCTAGCAAGGACTCTCTTCTGTGACCTTGATCTTTGAGCAGCCTTCTATCGTAAGATGAACCACAAATAGGGACCTGATAAGCCTCAAAACATTTCGAAACATCTTGGAAGTTGACACGCAAGATGTACGAAAAAGTGCAAAGTTTGAGGTCAATTTTGAGCATGACCTTGACCTTGACCTTTGATGTTGAGCACATTTTCGGAATTCTCAGATGATTCTCTTCTTTCGTTTGACACCCAATGTTGCCGGTTTTATGATGCATCCTGCCGTCCTCTAGAACGCTCACTTTGAGATCACTCACAATATGTGCCGGTTTTTGCCTTTGACCTTGACCTCTGACCTTGAAAATTGACCTGAGGTCAAAAATTTTGGGTGTTTTAGAATCGCCTCGTAAGGAACTTTCGTTTGGAATCTCTTTTGTTTACGTAGCTCCCTTATTTACGGAGTTAGACAGGGGGCGAAAAACGCCCCTCCCCGGGCTGCGGTGGTTGGAATTACCCCCCGGGCCCGGCCGGGTTAACCCGCGCCCCACTGGGGGGGGGGGCTATTTATAGCCCCCCTCCCGTTTTTCTGCAATAACTTCCAAACCGCTTGGCATATCGACGCTAAACTTTCAGTACCTTCGGCTGCATCAATTTGACACCTTGTGTCAAAATTTGAACTTCGTACCTACCATAGGTCGGCCGGAAATGACGTCAGAGTGACGTCATGTTCGGCCGATTTCGACGCAAAACATTGAACCACGGCAATCGCTCCCAAGAGCTCAGTTTTTAAGCTAGATCCAATTTCTTTGCATGAGAGGACTCAGAATAGACTGCGCTATCAAACTACTATCTCGGATTTTCGAAATTTTAAAAATTCGAAAATTTTATATAATAGAATTCAAATTTTTTTTCTTCCATTTTTTCAAAAAAAATTGACTTTTCGAAAAAAAACGGAATATATGTGATAGAACGTATTATTATGACTATCTCTAGCAAGTTTTAGCTAAATATCTTCAAAAATGGCCAAGTTATACGCATTATTGCAAAAAATTCACATTTATTAATTTTTCAAATCAATTTTTCAGCACGAATTTGACATCGCACGCCAATATAAATAGCACCATCGTGTTCCTGAGCTCAAACTGCATCCAATAGACACCTTTTTTGTTGAAAAATTTTAACTTCCAAATTTGTCCTTTTTTGACCTGAAAGTGACCTGACCTAAGCTAAATTTGACTCAAAATGACCTCGAATGACACAGACGACATCAAATTCGAAATTTTTGGCCTAAATGGATCATAAAACATGTGTCACGTGACCGACGGATGATATAATATTTTCGTGACCTGTGATGACATGACCTTGACCTGAAAATCGAAGTACAAGTTTGGTACCCTCAGAGTATCTAGAGCATCTGTTCACGAGTGTGTGAATAAAAAATGAGCCTGATCTGACTTGTAAGACGGCGGCCAGAGCCCAAAACGTGAAGAAGCCTAATGCTAATAATTTTTACTTTGACCTGACCTGTGACGTCATCGGTGACCTCGAGGTAAATGAAATTAGGTTTTGCTCGACAGTTTTTCCGGGGCTATCAGACGCCGTTTGAATTTTGACGATCGGCCCAGTAGTTTCGGAGTTAGGAGGGGGGCTATGAATAGCCCCCCCCCCCAGTAGGGCGTGTTATACGCAGACCCCAGTGGGGCGCGGGTTAACAGAAGAGAGGATCTTTCCCCAGAACCCTGCCAGTTCCGAGAAACATCGGTGAGGCGTTTTACCTCGGCGGGGCGACTTGCCCCGGTCTACCCTACGTGTGGACAAAAGTACGTCACGGACAAAAGTACGTATAGCAAATGTAAGTAGGGTATTAAGTACGTACCCCACCCTTGGGCTAAGTTGATCAATGTGTAATACCTTTCTTATTCTTTATTTAACCCGCGCACCGACGGGGGTCTGCGCCAACTTCGCACCGACGGGGGGGGGGGCGGATGACCGCCCCCCCCCCCTGAGATCTCGAGAACGAAGCAAGATAGCGACAAGCGGTAAACGGCATCGGATACGCACGGCCAAGATCTACAATTTTTACTAAGGTCATTTTCAGGTCAGGTCAAAGATGACGTCACAGGGGTCGAAAAAGTCAAAATGGCGGCGCTAGATATGGAGAGAGTTTTTCTCGAATAACTTTCGAATTAGTCAAGATAGGAACAAACTAAGGGCATCATCGTGATCCTCTCGTCAATCCGCATCGAATGATATATATGTTGACCTCGAAAGGTCAAGGTCAAAGGTTGACCTCAGGTCACGTGACCTCGAGGTCATCATGTATATCATTCGATGCGTCTTGACGAGCTGAACACAATGAGACCATCCACGCGTCTGTATCTTGTTCCTGTACGGAGTTATTGGCCAAAAACCTTTGGTGACCTTTGATGACGTCACATGACCTCACAGCTGCCCAACAGCAAAACAGACCTCAAGGTAGTGAAGGTTGATCGTATATGAAGTCATGTATGGTACATGGGGCCATTCCGACCCGTTTTAGTGGTAAAAACAGGGAGTTGATTTTTCCCCCATTGACTTATAATGGGGAGGTCGCGAAATTGACCTGACCTTAGGTCACCGATATCAAAATTCCGAGATATACAAATTGTAGCTACTAATGACTTAATGATATCCTGCGACTTTCAAAGGCCTCCGACATCTACTGTAGCTCTGGCACGGTGACAAAGTTGCAAAAAAGTGACTTTAGGTTGGGTCATTCAAAGTGACCTGGTGACCTGACCTTAAAAGATAGGAAGTTCAAACTTGCACACCATGTGTAAAATTGATGAGGTTATAGTCATACCAAATTTCGCGGCGCGTAGCGCCGCGGTTTTCCCGCTATTCGCGAAAAACCTCAGGGGGGGGGCGGATATCCGCCCCCCCGTCGGTGCGCGGGTTAATGAGCATTTGTTACAAGGCATAGCAAAATTTCTCGATGAGTAAATGGGCGAAATGGACAAAGCTATATTATTTGGTATATGAATTTATCATGAAATCCCTGTTGTATGGCAACAGAGCAGCAATAAAGAAAAAGTGGCTCAACTTTCACTACTATAGGTACCCTACTTCTAGCTTACGTAGGTACTTTATACACTACGTACTTTGGCACACGAAATGTACGTACTTTTGGCATACGTACTTTTTACACTACGTACTTTTGCATACGAACTTTTGCGTACGAACATTTGCGTACGTACTTTTGGCATACGTACTTTATACACTACGTACTTTTGCATACGTACTTTTGCGTACGAGCATTTGCGTACGTACTTTTGGCATACGAACTTTATCGCCTACGTATATTTGCGTACGAACATTTGCATACGTACTTTTGTCCTACGTACTTTAGCGATACGTACTTTAGTCCTAAAATCAATGAATTTTCGTCGGCCTAAGAATAAGATCTCCTAGCGGCAAAACAAACAGTCAGTGCCTAGCGCACCGGCCGCAGTGGCGCTAGTGTCGCCGAGCTGGCGCAGTGGGATCGGTAGGTATGTACCCGGTAGCCTTGGATTAGTCTTGGCCCGAACATGGAACGCCTGCCCGGTCCTTGCGCCGGTGACAGATTGAAGCGCTATCGAATGCTGGTTACTGGTAACGGGTGAGCACTAAAATTTTGCACAAACTTTGTATGTCAATAGAACATTAATTGCCTGATGCCCGTAAAAACAACAACTACCAGGTGAAAGGTTGGGAAAAATACTTTCTGTTTATATGCAATATAAGCTGTTTTGCCCTGCCAATCGTGAACACGGAGCCAGAGAAGAAAGACGCGTTGTTAAAAGGGGTGGCGAAACTTAACGAAAAAATCGTGAGCTCGGTAAACCGTTTACCGTAAGGCACTCCGTGGCTGGAAAACCAGGGATTTTATACACATGGTGTGTCAAAAGTGGAAATAGCCGCCCGGCTTTAGTTCGCCAGCCTTGTCAATAGATGGCAGTACCACAATATGGGCAGCGGATCGTGCAATTGACGTCAAATTTTCGTTATCTGCTAAGAATTTAATGGCGGATCTTTTCATGCAAGAATCAAGTAAATCGGTCCACAACTTTTCTAGCGACAGAGATATGAAGTCAAACACCCTGCCAGAGCGGCGGCGCGGCGGCCGGCGGCGCCCGTTACGCGCCGCCTGGGACACTGGCGGCGCTGAACGGTTCCGACTTGGCACTGCACTAAAACCTGTTAACTGCTTGGAATAGTTATTATAGCAAAATTTTCATTCAAGTGAGGAATGACCAAGGGCAGGAAGTATGTATGCTTGTGTGCGTACTGTGTAAGCCAAGAAACTGCATTAGCAGATACTCGCTAATATTAGATCCAGCCAAGTCCAAACGCATTCCAGGGGATATGTTTCTGATGGGTCAACAATATTTATCGTTCGAGGGCGGATACAGTTTTGACAATACAAAAAATATTTTTGCACAGCTCTATTCCTTGAAGAATTCTCTTCAACGCCTCATTCCTAGTTAAGCGAATTAGCCCACCCTGTTCGAATAAATAAGGCGATTTCGCCACAAGGTCGCGGAAAACCGACCGAAAACGGCCGCGCTCAACGTTAATTTGGGCATGCAGACTCTTAGAAAATCGCATTGGGCGGGTAGGGTTTCCCAGGTATTGGCTCCAAAACACCGTATTCGGCTCCTGAATACGTCCAAGTGACCCGCCTCGTTCCTAGTTAAGCTCTAATTAGATCAAGTGACTCACAAGGAGCGAAAAAGCGACAAAAAGCATGAATTTCCCTATGGCGGCGGGCTGCCGGGTTGCCAGACGGCGCACCGGCTATTTCCACTTTTGACACACCATGATCGGGTCCTCTTCAGGAAGATCCTGAGCATGTTCGGTTCAACTAAAAAAACAAGTTTCCGTAGAAAATAATTGTGTGGCTTGCCGTCAGCGAAAGAGGTGTATTTTAGCCCTTCTTCTGTCAAAGCGGAGGTGCCCTGGGTGGTCAAATCTACCGAAAACAGCGCGTGACCAAGATGTTTGTCCTCTTCATCGAAGAAAAACATAGTGGAGACGAAATTATGTTCTGGCCGGAACTGGCATCGTGCCATTACGCTCGTGAGACGCAAGAGGTGCTCCATGAGAGCATACCGTCGGTGCCGAAGGGTGACAGCCAGCCATGCTGCCCACTGAGTGCATACAGCTGAGACCCATGTGGAGCGTCAGTGGTCTATGATTAACCCGCGCCCCACTGGGGGGGGGGGGCTATTTATAGCCCGCCCTCCCGTTTTTCTGCAATAACTTCCAAACCGCTTGACGTATCGACGCCAAACTTTCAGTACCTTAGGCTGCATCAATTTGACACCTTGTGTCAAAATTTGAACTTCGTACCTACTATAGGTCGGCCGGAAATGACGTCAGAGTGACGTCATGTTCGGCCGATTTCGACGCAAAACATTGAACCACGGCAATCGCTCCCAAGAGCTCAGTTTTTAAGCTAGATCCAATTTCTTTGCATGAGAAGACTCAGAATAGAATGCGCTATCAAACTGCTATCTCGGATTTTCGAAATTTTGAAAATTTCGAAAATTTTATATAATAATATCCAAAATTTATATTTTTACATTTTTTCAAAAAGTTTTTGATTTTTCGAAAAAACCGGAATATATGTGATAGAACGCATTATTATGACTAACTCTAGCAAGTTTTAGCTAAATATCTTCAAAAATGGCCAAGTTTTACGCATTATTGCAAAAAATTCACAATTATTAATTTTTCAAATCAATTTTTCAGCACGTATTTGACATCGTACGCCAATATAAATAGCACCATCGTGTTCCTGAGCTCAAACTGCATCCAATAGACACCTTTTTTGTTAAAAAATTTTAACTTCAAAATTTGACCTTTTTTGACCTGAAAGTGACCTAACATAAGCTAAATTCGACTCAAAATGACCTCGAATAACACAGACGACATCAAATTCGAAATCTCTGACCTAAATGGACCATAAAACATGTGTCACGTGACCGACGCATGATATAATATTTTCGTGACCTGTGATGACCTGACCTTGACCTGAAAATCAAAGTACAAGTTTGGTACCCTCAGGGTAACTAGAGCATCTGTTCCCGAGTGTGTGATCCAAAAATGAGCCTGGTCTGACTTGTAAGACGGCGGCCAGAGCCCAAAACGTGATCAAGCCAAAATGCTAATAATTTTTACTTTGACCTGACCTGTGACGTCATCGGTGACCTCGAGGTCAATGAAATTAGGTTTCGCTCGACAGTTTTTCCGGGGCTATCAGACGCCGTTTGAATTTTGACGATCGGCCCAGTAGTTTCGGAGTTAGGAGGGGGGGCTATGAATAGCCCCCCCCCCCCCCCAGTAGGGCGTGTTATACGCAGACCCCGGTGGGGCGCGGGTTAAGGCCAAAACATACACAGGAGGCTGGAAAGCGACGAATGACACCCAGCTCATTAGGAAAATCTAGAAGGGCATCAGCTACACGGACCAAGAATTAGTGCACAAGATGATGAAGGGGGTACCACAGCGCGTGCAACGCGCTGCACGTGCAGGAGCCAATACCTGCGTCCACTAAGCAGCATGTGAAAGCGGAGGTACAGATCTCCAGTCTATGAAAGTTGTACGCTAATCTGCTGAATATAATGTGATTTATAAACAAATGAATTTTGTGCAAAATTTTAGTGCTCACCCGTTATTTCGCTGTTCCCACGAGGTACGAAATCATTTACCAAAGCAAGTAATCAAAAAAGAAAGAGGGCCCTCGATGATATTGATCTGACCTCTACCTTGATCTAAGATAGCGCACGGCGACTATTCCAAACTTGCTGAGTACCTACCACAAGCTGTTGCTTCGTGCCTCAGGAACTGTGACGAAAGAGGACGTGAAAAGCTAAAAATCCTTCAGTCGTACCTACCCTATTCATCGATAACGCTATACTGCGGCACGGCGGCCGCAGAACCATTCCTAGGTAGGTAATCGCTCGAGTCAGTGCCAAGCTGGATTCACTATTGAATTGTGAATCCAGAATAGTGACTATTTTTTGTGTGGTTTCCCGGAATCAGTTCTTGGGTTGCGGCACATAGGTATACTCTCCCATCATGTCACGTCATTTGTCACTTCATTCTTCGATCTGTGTATCCGATTGATTGACGCAAATCGGATTTAAAAAGACGGTGAAATATCAAAATATATTACCTCCACAAGTCACTGTTGCAGAAATCAAACACCAAAACTAAACGAAAGTGTACAGTCCGTCAGTGCTACTTCTGTGAGTCTATGAACAAATGTACAAATGGCGAGAAGTTACTACATCACCCCCTAGTGACCTCAGGTACGATACAACTGTCAATGAATGATACATCAAGCATCAAATTGTGGTTTCTAAATAGAAACGTTCAGCTAGCGTCAGTAGAATACAGTTCTTTTCATTAAAAAATCAGAACTCAAGCATTACACGTAGTTACTTCTGTACATTGATGTATGGGTATGAAAACAGCACAAAACCCATGCAATGAGTCGAAATGCAGCACATACAAATTGTCTCAAACAAACTCAGAAACAAAGTTCACAAACGTATACCTACGTCGAGCAACACCTGGATGCGATAATCACAGCACGGCTACACGGGGGTCCACCGACGGAGCACTTCGTCACGTCAGCGTTGGGAGACAGAGCCAAGGATGTCACTAACCAGACATACGCAGCCTCATCCATGAACTTCGGCTGCACGGCATCATCCGTAGTTGACACACGTCACAACCACTGCAGGCTCACATGCTATCGTCCGCATTGCCGAGGGACTGCTGACATGTACCACTGGCCGCAGCAGCATGAGACTACATTCTACTGCCGTCCACGAACAGTTCGCGCAGCTCCGCCAGCGTGAGCCCCTGCTCGGCGGGGCCGGGCGCCGCGGCCGCCGCCGCCGCCGTGGCCACCGGTCTGGTGGCGTTGAGCGCCAGCACCCGCTCCTCGATGGTGTCTCTGACCACCAGCCGGTGCACCACGGTGGCGCGCCGCTGGCCGATCCTGTGCACCCGTCCAACGGCCTGCCGCTCCGAGCCCGGGTCCAGCACCGGGTGGGTCAGCACCACGTGCGTCGCCTCGATCAGGTTCAGGCCGTTGGCGCCCGAGTGGATCGGCAGCAGCAGGACCGAAACATCCGGGAGTGTCCGGAACTCCCGCAGCTTCTGCTGGAACTTGCCCGTGTGCAAGCTGCGGAAGGTGACGTTGTTCATCTCCAGCGCGCCACCGATGACGTCCAGAGCGTCCGTCCAGGTGGCGAACACCAGAGTCTTGGCGCCCGGGTCGTCCCGCAGAATGGTCAGCACGCAGCGGACCACAGCCTCCACCTTGGTGCTGTGACTGCCGCGGACACGAATCGCTCCTCCCGCGCCGTCTTCGTCACTGGCGCACGTGGCGTTCACGTAGGCGATGTCGGAGTGACGGGTAAATTCGCGACAGATGGCGCACTTCAGCTTGTCGCGTCGTCCACCCATCGAGAACTCTTCGATGATGCGCTGCACACAGGTCATACAGAAGCAGTGCCCACACTGCAGCACACTCCAGTTGGTACCGAGCGCAGTTTCGCAGATGGGACACGGCTCTGGGTTGCCATTGCGGTGCTCCACACCCGACTTTTTCAGATTGGTGAGGTACAGACGCTGTCCCAGCTTGCGTCTCAAATCGTTTTCAGACACAGCGCGATCGGCGGCAAGCTTGCCGCGGTGCAGGTCCACCTCATGCGGCTCGATGACGTAGGTGGGCAGCTCCTGCCCGCCCTGGGCCACCGGCAGGTCTGGTGGCGGCTCATCGACGTACCGCGTCCTCAGGCGGAGCACAGCCATCTCCAGCTCATCCGAGGCAGACACGCGATCGTTGACATGCCTCCAAAGGATGCGTAGGCTCTTGAACTCTTTCTTCATGGTTTCCAGCATCTTGATGTGATGACCGCCCAGCTCTATGAGAATCTGGTTCATGCCCAGCTGTCGCGCCTGTGAAAGTAGCACTTTTAGCACTCTCTCGGTCTCATTATCTCCCCAGTTGCCGCGCCTCAGTTCACCATGCACGCTGATCTTGCCCTCGACGCCACCCATCTCGCTGGCATCCACTCTACTCTGGGCCATATAGAACAGTTCCCGCTCGTAGCGTTCGAAGGCGTCATGTGCTTCGCAAAGACGACACCGTTCAGCGTCACTATGGCTTGGACGGAGATGACAGTCAACTGCGGCCGACACCAGCTCCGTCGGGTTTATGACCACCAGTTGGCCAACGCCCTCCTGAGTCTCTTCACGCAGCTCTGCCAGTTTCATCAGCCTTTCCATGAGCAGGCGTTGCAGGCCCGTGACGCTGCTAAACTTTTCCAGCATAGTGTTCGCCGGAATTCGGCCCTTCAGTACCGTCGTGCGCTTAGTGACTCCTGTGTTTGTGCGCTTCTCAATGTTCGAATCAGCACTGGAGAGTTCGCGGAGCTGTTGGTTGATGCGTTCCACGACCTCACCTGGTCGGGCCTCCGACCAGCGTGCCAGCACGGCGGAGAACCAGGGTCTCTGACTCTCGTCCAGCTTAGCGGCGTGTTCGTCCACCTCTACCGATAAATCGCTCGTGGAGGACAGCGTTTGCTCCACTAGCGTCGTGTACTTGCCCACGTAGGAGGCACGTAGCTCTTGCGCTTCCTGCTTGAGACGATGATCCCGGGTAGTGGGTGGAATGGGTCTGCGGGCGGACACCAGCTCATCGAGGTTGTGCAGTGCGTGAAGTCGCTGCAGCATATCGGTGTTCAAAGTGTCTCGCAGCTCCTCGGCCTGACGGAGGACGGTGCGGTAGAGCTCAGCAGCTTGGTCCCACTCCTCACGGACGATGTGCAGCGCTGCCAGACCGTGCTGCGCCGCGACCCGCTGCCGGTGCGCCTCCTCCGCCTCTGTAGTGGCACGTCGGATCATCTGCTCCAGCAACTCCTCCATGGTCATCGTCGATTTGTGCAGAGGCATGAACTGACCTCTCACTACCTGGGGGTGGCAGCACGCCTGCCGCAGCCGTAGCAGTGGACGCAACAGCTGGTTGACGGTCGCTCGTTCAAGGTCCTTCAACTGCAGCTTGTCATCTGTAAAAGAGGCCAGCTTGGCTAGCGCATCGCGGGCGCATTCCTCATGCTGCCTTCGGTAGAAGTATGTCTCTACAGGGGAAAAGTCCAACCGGTCTGTAAGCTCGCGCTGTGCGGGCAGGTCGATCTGATCCAGCACATCGGCTTTAGCGGTCCGCCAGAGACAGCGCTCCAAGAGGCGATCCAAGGGACCCGCGTCTCCGTGTAGGTATGGGTAGTAGATCAGCTGGTTCCACCACAGCTCACACCAGACCGGATCATCGCCGAGGAACAGCAGCAATCCATACAGGTCGGCCACGCTGCGGCTTAGCGGCGTGCCAGTCACACACCAGCGGTTGACACAGCTGAGCTTGAGAGCCATGGAGGACGTTCGCGACGTGGTGCTCTCCACCATCTGGGCTTCGTCAAGACATACGCGCCACCAGTCGACGCAGAGCAGCGGCGACGGCGGTGGCAGATAGCGCTGCTGGCGACGTTTTCCAGCGTCCCCTCCATTGCGTCCAACTTCCGTGTAGTTCAGTTCCCGCTGAAGGACAGTGTAGGTGGTGACCACGAGATCGTGCGAAGCCAGCTCCTGTGGCTGGATATAGCTGTTGCTGCTAACGCCGGTGTACACGAGGACACGCAGACCCTCGCACCGGATGTGTTTGAGAATCTCCTGCACCCATTGGTCGGAGATAGCCGTGGGGGAGACGATAAGCGTTGCTCCTGACCGCACCGGCGGTTGCTGCGTCCAACACTGCGGACACCAGTATCCACCCCTGAGCGGGTTTGTCACGTCGTATCCGACACATTTAGCGTGCTGAAACGTGCCACAAGCGCTGCACTGCACCCGGTACTGACGGTCCTCCCAACGCCCACACAGACAAGAGAAAGTTGGGTCCACCTCCGGCTCCGGCAGCGATCGCACGCGACATGCCGACATCTCGGACATTGTTTGCTCGTAGTGCAGCTGGAGCAGACGTTTGATTTCTGACGGCGGTTTGGGTGGCGCACAAGGACTATCTGAGGTAGAGCGGCCTGACTTCTTGCGAGAGCTTCCACCGGGACGGTAGCTCGGAGGTGGTTTACCATCGTAGCACACCCTCACCACCACTTCCTCGATGGTTTCTTCCACAGGATCGCGCCATGATGGTTTGGGCGTCGGTTTTTCGCCCCGTTTCGTGAAACTGTCCCAGTCGGGGAGTACCCCCAGGCCGCGCACATAGTCACTCGGCTCAGCCTCACCGTAGCACTCGCGAATGATCACGTCCTCGATGCAGTTGGCGACATTATCACCCTCAGCGATTCCAGAACATTTCACGTCTCCTGATGGACTTTGCTGAATACTCTGCGGTTCCGTTCCCACAGATGAACGGCTTCCAGATGACACATCCGAAGTAGGCCCGGCATTTGCAACATCCCCAAACGCACCGTGACTCACTGAGACACTGTTTTCATCCCTTTCCAGGCGCGATTTCTCCACCGTTCGTGTTCCAGTATCTGAATCAGATTGCAATCCTGAGTCGGAGTTGGTCTGCGCCCTGCGCTGTTTCATTCTGTCCGTACGGCTCGATGTCGGCACGTATCTCTCCCAGTCGCAGTCCGAGTCGGACGAGCTGCCTTCCATCGGAGTCATCTTCCTCTTCCGGCCTGAGGAGCGACAAAGTCTTTGTCTGTTGTTTCCTTTCGGTGTACCCTTTCTTTTCCGCTTTCCGGTGTTCGATGTCGAGTCCGATTCCGAGTCAGAGTCAGAGTCACTCCAAGAGCGTTTCTTCTTGCTTCGAGCTGAACGCTTGTCTTTTGTGGCCACGGACTCCTCATAGCTAGACAGGTCGACAACCTCCAGTGGTTCTGGCTTTACAGCATCGCCTCGCGGATGGTTCAAAACCAAAGAAAGTATTTCCACAGTTTTTCCGAGACCCATCTCATCAGCAAGGATGCCACCGGGTGGTGAGCTCACTTCACCCGGTCTTTCACGCACAGCCCAACCACCCAGTGGACAGTAGTACACTGTGGTCCCTCCGAGGGACAGAGGAACGTACAGATGATGAAGTTTGTGATGATCTACAGGCCTCTGACGCTCCCGACGCAACATCCAAGTGACGGCATCCCGCTGATACGGCCGCAGCTGAGGCAGCAGTTGCTCATGCTGTGGGTCAGGGGTGGATTCATGGGAAGAATCCGCGTCTGTGTCTCCTTGGCCACGCCTTGCGGCCAGTCGACGGTACAGCTCGTCGACATCCACAGCACCCACCGCTTGGGACTCGTACTCCCGTCCTGGCAGTTTCAGCAGCCGTCTCAAGAGGGCGCGGCAGTCGGCGTTCACGCGGCGGTAGTTCTCGCTGGGATGACGCAGCGGCACGAATGCCTTCTCCCCAAGAAGCACGTCCAGCAGCAGCTCCCCCGAGTGGCCGTAGTCACTCAGCACTGTCTCTACACCACCGGCAGATCCAGACAAAAGACGCCAGGTCTCAAACGACTGTGGTGCCGCCACTTGGAGAAGTTGAGTCCGCTCAACCCGGCGTCGGCTCCGGATGCCATCCGGGCGAGATAGCCACTCGAAATACAGCAGTGCCCGGTCCTGTTCCTCCGAGAAGTATACCCAGAATTTATCGGTCTCAGGCAGCTCCAGAGGGGGCTCGGAGAGCGTCAGTCGCAGCGTATCAACGACTGGCTCATCGTTGGACCGCGTCTTGCGCACCGACACTGGAACGTAGAAGTCAAAATCGGCCAGCTCGGCACACACCCGTGCGTACTCCTCTTGAGCAGGAGTGATTGGGGCGCTGAACCGCTTCTTCTGCGGCTTCCCAACAGCTTTCTTTCCATAACGATCCGCAGACGTCGAAGAGTCACTGACAACTTTAATGTCGTATTTTTCATCCCAGTCGTCATCACTGAGTGTGATCACATCATCTCCGTTGTCGCTGAGGACTACATGAACGGGTTCATCGGCTGGCGGAACCGGACCATCTGCAGCTCTCGAGGACGAAGAGCTGAGTTCACTAGCTCGCTCCAGATCGCGATTTGTCCAACTGGAAGCAGAACACTCGCCCTCAGGGCGGTGCCTCGGCGCAGTCTGCTTCTGGCGTGGCATCGTGCCAGCAGCGGAACCGTTGCAGTTGCTAGACGATCGCAACTTAACAGAATCCAATAAGTGAATGATAATCCATTGGGCGAACAATAGTTTTCAATGTTTCAGCTTGTTATCAATTGCAGGCTTTTTGATCCGTATCTGAAATAAAAGCAAAACGGTTAAAGGCTGCACAATCAATTCAAAACATTTTCAATTTTCAAACCTGTACCTACAAACAGATCTAATATTTAATAAGCTAACATTGATTTGCTCCATTGACCGTTGGTGTAAAAAATACTTGCTTAAAAGGTGAAAAATATCACAAGAGGGCTAAACGTGCCGGTGAGTTACAGGCCCGGAGAGTGCACGCCACTTGACCCCACCCATGTTGTTATTCAGGTCAACTGGCAACTGGCGAGAGGGGCACGCACGCGAGCTGGACAAAGGAGAGGCGTGTCGCCATTTACGTACGAATCTTCAACCCTTGCGCTTGAACTGTTACTGATTAACCAGTATAGCGCCTTTTGGGGCGACTAACGGAGCGAGCGAGGGGGTGAGTCTTGCACGTGCGAAATTTCGAGAGGGTACCTCCAACTGACTTGTGCACGGCACCCTACTGACCGGTTTCTAGCGATGTGCCAAATTTGAGCACAATCGGCCCAGCCGTTCTCGAGATCTGGGAGCGGCACCCTGCACGTGCGCACGTGCAAAATGGGTCCCAACTGACTTGTGCACGGCACCCTACTAACTGCTTCCTAACCGTGTACCAAATTTGAGCGCCATCGGTCCAGCCGTTCTTGATATCTGGAAACGACCCCTGCACGTGCGCACGTGCAGCAGCACCCCAACTCTGGCACATGGATATGCAGTGCCTAGTGGGTGCCTACCTACATGCCAACTTTCAGCGCAATCGGCCAAGTAGTTGCCGAGATATTGCAACAATTACAAAACTGACACCTCTTCGTTTTGCACGTGGCACGTGCATAAGGGGTCACCTATATGCATCGGGAATAGTCCAATACTTGGTAGAAGGAATGAAGCTACCCTACAAAAATTACCGCGTGTAAATCGGTCAAGTGGTTGCTGAGATATAAGCCTCGCAAAAGCGTCCGCACGGCCGGCCGGCCGGCCGGCCGGCCGCTCATACTCAGAAATTTCCGTTAATCTAAGGAAAGACTTCGCTCGCTTCGCTCGCTCCGTAACCAGGGGCGGGCAATGTGATCGATAGCCCGCGAGTTGCCGGGGGGGGGGGGCGTTAAACGCCCCCAATTTTTCGCCGCGGTTAAGCTAAAAACGGCGCGCCGCAGCCGCGCCAAATTTTGGCTACCTGGGATGAATCGATTGAAGTTTATTATGCGAAGGCTAAAAAATCGATCCGATTTGAGATGACTATCGAGGTTTTACTGGCGTTATGACTTCGGATTTTTCAACCAAAAATAGTATATGTATGAAAATCGTATGAAATCATAGAACAGGCAGACAGCCATGCGTTACAACCATTAGACGGCCAATACCATTTAGAATCAATAGGCTATCTTCACTTTTTGATTATCGTTCAACGTCTTCCAAAAATGTCTACTGGGTACATCCTGGCAATTTCTCGTGACTACTTCAAGCAGAACCACGATGTGTGTATTTTTCAAATTGATTTTTGTTTGTTAATTGGGGTTAGGGTCAATTTCATCTTTTTTCGATCAAATGCGTAATGCCTGCTTTGACTTTCGGGGATATGTCCTTATCCTGGTTGACCTGACTTTGACCCTAACCTAAGCTCGGCTGACCCCTACATGGATCTGACACTCATAGGTGGAGCTTTGTGCCCAGCTGGGGGGTGCCTGGGCGCAATAAATCCGCCGCCGCCCTAGCGGTGACCTTGAGCGGTGACCGTCTGTTGCGGCTCCAAAGCAAAGCCGGAGTAGAACTGTGAGAGCTCGGGCACCCCCAGTCCAGCCAGCACAAACCTCCACCTATACTTTTTTACGGCCTGCCACCAACCGCAACCATCAGATGTGTACAGAAGCTGAGACCCGGCGGCGTAGAACCAAAACCGCTGGCCGCATTTTCTCCACGATCAGACGGCTACACAGATACAAAATTTAAAAAAAATCAGTCCGAATCATTTGAATGGAAGGATTCACAAGGACAGAGCCCCCGCTAAGCTGAGCTTGTTGCGTTGGCACTGCACTCTACGTTTGATCGCGCAATTCCTGGTCTATGGCAGAATTTAGAGTCCGAAGCTTAAAGCCGCACATGGCCGGTCCTCCTCACTGACTTCGAGTGGCTACAGCCTGCCAGTGCCACCAACCGCAACCATACCTGTCGGGAGGCTCATACAAGTCATAAAAATAAACATCGAGCGCCCGTCGCGCCTCGAACCCGGACTTTTGGAACCGGGACGTGTGCTCTCACCACACGGAGTCCAACGCTCTACCGACTGAACTACGGGACCGGCTCATATCGAACACTGATATGAAGATTATGAAGACTTTGACACATGAAAGATTTGCACAGTATTGACAGAGTTTATGACGAGAGCCGCCCAGTAAGGGGTTCTAAGTTCCATGCTACTGAAAGCCCAATTTCAGGTGTTTGAACTTTGACCTGACCTTGACCCGACCAGTCACCTCGAAATTCAACTTCCAAGCACTCATCACAAGCAGGGACGGAGCTTCCTATTCAGTTGGTGGGGCGGCTGTCCCACCAACTTGCCATTTTGCCCTACCTATAAGCGTTCTGCCCCAACAACTTTAACTGATTTGTAGGACTTTGTTGCTTTGCAAATCAATCTTTTTCGCATTGAAGAGCTTTGCAAAGTCTGTGTAATCCGAATATTATCTCTGCAATAAAAAGAATTGACTCAGTGTAGCATTTTATTTAACTTAACAATCGGAATTTGTAGGTTTTACGACTTTTTGACCCACCAACTTCCCTGGAAAAGCTCCGCCCATGAGCACAAGCCTCTCGTCCCGTTCTTTGATGTACCACCTCGTGCCTTTCACTGCGCCTCGCTCGTTTCTTCTACTTAGGGAGCCCCAAGAATTTTGCTACCTAAAGTCTTTGTTTTGTTTTGTTGGGTTATGCCCTTTCGGTCCAATGAGACCATTGCACAGTCGGAGGATGATAGAAATTAGGGGGATACATTGGTCTGGGCAGGCACCCTAGTGAGTCACCGGGGTTGCCCATCCGTTAGTTGCACAGGCCGACCAGCCCCCCCCCCCCAGGCACTCACTGCACCCGGTTACGGGTGTGCTCCCTGAGGAGCTGCGGTGCGCTCCGGTGGAAGACGCCCGCATGGGATCAAGTTGCCTGTCCAGCGGGCCAGGGGTTGCGGTGTGGAGCAGAAGGATTTGACTATCCTGAGGATGGAAACGAGGGAACGGGTGTTGCTATAGTCCTCAACAGATTTTTTGGGGGGGATGGCCTGAGTGAGTAGTTTTAGGATACGTTATATATCGTAGCTTCGTGCAAGTTTGGCCACCGAGGGCAACTTTGACCCACGCCTGGAAAAAAGAATTTGTTTTGCTTAGCTTTTTACACATAATCAGTGCAGACAAGTTTTTGTTATGGTCCGGTAAGGTAAGAATGTTCATCGGTTACCTTCGGGAACAATCCTGAGTTGGTCCCAAGGCCAAGTTGAAGGGCTAGGAGCCCCACGATGCGGCGATAAAAAGACGACCAATGAATGGCTTGCAGCGGCAGTGTTGGGCGGGGCCATGACCATATAAGGTCACTAGATCAATGAATTGATCTGATTTCGTGCATTCCAGCTTTCAAATGGCAAAAACGGCACAGGCATGCTTCATAACCACATATGGACCATGGATTCCCCAACTGATATCACATTTGCTAGGGTATGTACGGTCCTCCAGCAAAAGAGTGGTTGTTTAGCCTATGTGCTTTTGGTGTAATAACTTTCAATGACGGAGACACTCGTGTAATATTACCCAATAGAAATGAGAAGAGGGCTCGTGAACATACTTCAGCAATGGTTTTAACAGCCATTTGACATATTCATTAACGCAGATCGATTATTGTGATGTTGGTAGCAAACCACTTAATACCTGGAGGCCCGTTAACACTACACACTCTAACAGGATTGTCATTCAAGCATGAAGCAGCAAGGTGTATTGACAATTTTTCTGTCCAATATTTGAAACTTGTCCGGAGATCAACAGTCCCAATCTCTGAATCATAATGATCACATACATCAAGGCACTATGTACCGTAAACCGGGGTGAGTTGATATGGATTTTGAGGTTTTTCTAGATTTCTTTAAAAGTCACATTCATTTACGGAATTCTTTTTGTGCCAGTTTCATGGCACATGCCTTGGGGAGGCAATCAGCAAAAATGAATAAAAAATGTATATATTAAGCCCCTTTTTTAAAACGCCAAAGTTCATATCAACTCACCCCCTGGGGGGTGGTGAGTTGATATGGTTTTGGATTTTTCAAAATTTCTCGGCTAAAGAAGCTCAGAGGTGAGTTGATAAAATGCCAGTGTTTATAAAAAGGATGTGAGAACACATCCTAAAAGAAACCATCAGAAAAATGGTTGTAGTTTGGCAGCAGACCTCACATTCATGAAAACGCAATCATGTCCAACACAGCGCTATCAAAATGGCTTTATTTTAGCAGCTTCATTTTTCGCTTTATGATATTTAGTTTTACTTAGAACATTCTGAACTTGGCTAGTCACGTGTCCTCAAGCCAACGGTATCAAAACTGGCAATATATTTTGGAATTACAAGTGTATTTTCTTGTAATTAAAACACATTGTCAGTTGCGGGTCAAGGTTGATATGCCTCTGACAGAGATAATGGATTGAAATGAAAGAATACATATACTTCTGAGCTTTTGTTGACTGGTAGTCAACAAAATATTAATGAAGTGAAGTGAAGCGAATCTAATTCGGACTGTATTCTATAAGGTGAAATAAGCGACATAAAACAGAATTCGGCATCAAAAGCCAAAATTAACCCTCGCACTTATAGGCGGGTGAACGGACCACCTCGGCTTTTCGCACATAACTCGCGCAAAAAGCGGCCGATCACGACGAAACTTCCAGTACCTCTCGAGTTTATCAATTTTACACATGTTCTAAAGATTTCATGACCCTGACTCAAATGGTTTTTGACTTGTGACCTGATTCTCGAGACCAGGCTTGGCCGGAATCGCGATTTGGCGTAGTCAGCTCACATTAGAAGAGTCAGCTCACATTATCCGCGCATTTCCAGTCTTTTTGTGATTGTAACGTCCAAACATGTAAATGATGTTGGTCCCTGGATGATGTTGGATGTTGGTCCCGCAGTATTGTGGGTGTCAACTGTCAAGGTCACCTGAAGGTCAGGTCAGGTCATTGACCTTTGGTGACCTCAGTTCACTTTTTGGAGTTTTACATGTTTCTAGGGTAGTTTTTTTCGGGCCGATTTCGAATTTAACATGCATTTGATCATTTATGAAGTAGTTTTAGTGCCTTCGTAACATGTTACGACACCGTCAGTGGTAGCTGACACTTGACACTCCCTATGGATAGTCGGCAGGACACCTACTGGTTCACCTGACCTGACCTGACCTGGCCTAAATGTACGAAGACATCTGTGCTCAAAACTAACATGACATTCGTGATCAGCAACAGCCAAAAATAATAAACTCGCTTTACGAACTTCAAATAACCCCCTATTTTCACGACTTGGGTAATTGACCTGGCCTGGAAGGTTAACTAATGACCTAGGACCTTAAAGTTGGTTATCATCGGCTTCCTCGCGTCTCGGGCAACACGCTCATTTTTTTCCGCGAAGCTCTAGCTCCACCAGGGACCAAACGACGATGGGATTCCAACGGACCCCCCCCCCCCCCTATACGTTAAACGCTGGCAAAACACGAATACGGGCGAGGGCTAAACACCAGTCAATTTCTTATATTGTTTGTTCCATTTCATTTTGTCACTCATTCTCGGTTGGCAACTGCCAAGCAGGAAAACTAATCAGTTTCACGAGATCAGAATTCCCGCGCTGTTAGACATACAGAAATGACAGTTTTGTCATTTTCGAAACTACGAATAATTATAACAGTTTTTAATCTGTATGTAATATAGGTGTTCTATAGTGTTCCTTTGTAGCTTGTAGGGAGTCATCTTGAGACTTGACAGGGAGTTGTGCTGTGCCTTTTGCACGTTAGGTATGTCCACAGAAAAAACTTTGGGGTTACTGATGTTAGTTGTCGGACATTCGTCCACGTCTTGAGTTGAGATGTTAGTTTCACAACGTTTCGGCCAGTTACTCTCCGGCCGTCGTTACTCGTCAGGTGTTCTTTGACCCTCAGAAGGACCTGGATGTTGGTGGCGTTGCGCCGTACGCGTCAAACAGTTCGAAAGCTCCTGTAGTCAGCGGGAATCGAACTCGGGTTTCCCCGGTGATGGTCCACGGTTGTAACCACTCCACTATCGAGGCAGATTTGAGTACGGCCGGAGAATTTACTGGCTGAAACGTTGTGAAACTAACATCTCAACTAAAGACGGGGACGAAAGTCCGACAACTAACAACAGTGATACTAACAGGCCTCGTCTCAAGCATTCAGAAAAAAAACTAAAGCTTTTGGGGGTTGATGGAATGATGTGGGGAAAGAAAAGGAGAGGAGTTGGTCTAATTGACTTTGTCTTACCTGCAGACCCATATTTCATGCTAATTTGCGTGCCTACCAGCCTGGTATCAGCTTTTATCATGCATATCAACTCACCACCTGATGGCATATCAACTCACCACCTGTCACTTTTCTTAAAATTATAAAAAAGCGTTGTTATAGGTGAAACCCAAAACTACCTGGGATCAAAAGTAAATTGATGGTAGTTTCTTTTCCAGTGCATGTTGTTTCATGAATATCCACCGTCTTTGCTGTAGGGTGGGGACTTTTCCTTAGTTTCAAAATCAGAAGAAAAAAAGGACTTTGAAAAAAGTAATGTGTTAAGAAGGCACTGCACCACATGCATGCCTTTCTCAGCTATATGCATCACTTATTGGTTGCTTCACTTCACAGAAAAAATAAAACTGAAAATTGGTTTACAAATGGATGAGCAGCACACATTTTAACATTTTTCGAGCAATTTATATCAACTCACCACCCCATATCAACTCACCCCGGTTTACGGTACCCCATACATGTCCCATGGTCAATGGTGGTGAGAACTGAGAACTGTGACTGCTCTGTTGATGTGGGGGAAAACAGTTGTGGAAACTACCAGGCGAGGATCCAAAAATTGATCGGCCAATAAATATACTTTTTATGACCATATATGGGCATAAATGCAGCCCTCGCTACTATGGGTGAAAAACGGTAGGGGAAACGGGGGTAACACCGCCACTGTGGGAAACACCGCCACCCCAGCTGGCGGCGAAAGTATGAAATGTGAAGTGTAAAAATCCGTTATTCCCTATTGACCGCACGAAGGTAAGCGTCTTCTGATTTGTGTTCCGGTGTTTCAGTGTAATCGAAGCTCAATGTGGGCATTTAAAGAAAAATGCACATTCTCTTATAAAAATTCGATGAGTTGGGAGCACTTTTGAATGTCTTTAAGTAGAGACTCATTTTGATTTACTTGATTACATCGAAAAATAACTGATCGGCTTTGTCCAGTAAGATAAGTTTGCTTGAACCGTGTAGTACATTCTTACCGCTGGCGATTTTTGCTTGTGATCACTTATTGGGGAACACCGCCACCCCGTGGCGGTGTTACCCCAATTGAGGTTGCGGTGTTTCCTGTTTGTAGCGTGATAAGTGATGAAACTCCAAAGACACGCTTTATTTATGTTCGTAGATGTTCCTAAGTCGGGAATAAGCAGCTTATTTGATTTTTTACTTTATATTTTTCAATTTGCATGCATCCCGACCAAGCACTTGCCAGCTGTATAAAACTGGCGAACAGCTGATGAACCTATACCTACCTATTTAGGTGTCCATTACCCAGGGTTGTGCTTGACTCATGAGTCGAGTCAAAAATTTGACTCAACTCTGACTCAAATGAGTCAGATTTGAGTCGAGTCGGATAAAATGTTGAGCTGTTGAGTTGAGTCAGAGTTGAGTCGGACAAAAATATTAAGGTGTTGAGTTGAGTCAGAGTTGAGTCAGTAAAATAACTTTTGACATTGAGTTGAGTCAAAAACATTTAGGAACATGAGTCAGCTGACTCAACTTTCTAGAAACAATACATAGTATAAGTTTTTCATTCTCCCCCCGCTTAACAACTTAGGCCTGGCCCTGCTGCCGGATTCCGCCCCCCCCCCCCCCGCTCAACAACTTTTTTTATCTGAGTCAATTTTGAGTCAACACACTTGACTCAACAAAAAATTTGAGTCAAGTTTGAGTCAACTCATATTTTCATTGAGCCGCTTGAGTCATGAGTCGAGTCAAGGGAAAAAATCAGTTCCTTGTTTGAGTCAGAGTTGAGTCAGGGCATTCTGAAGTTGAATGATGAGTCGAGTCGGCAAATTTTTTTGAGTCGAGCACAACCCTGCCATTACCGATTATTGGCGAAAATTACCACTTACCGACAGGAAACTCATCGCACACGATCTCTGAACAATTAAAAGCTTTCGTAGGAATGGGTTGGGTTAACATCAACACCGGTGGCGGGGTTACCCACACAATTTGTAGGCAGCAAATATGCAAGGTATTTTTAAAAGTTGTGATACATGAAAACCTTTTAGGAGCATGCAAAATAAGTACCTAAAACACGTGAGAAAATGTTTAAATATTGTAACCAAAACAATAACTACCAAGAGACTTCACACATATTCTCTCATTTTGGCGAAAAGCTTAGGGGGGCGGTGTTAGCCCCCGCTTCCCCTATAATTAGGTGGTACTTGTGGAATAATGTCCCCCTATTGGAGAGGAAAGTCTTCCATTTTCCACCAGCGATTAACGCCACCTAGTTAATAAAATTCGGTGAATTCACTCGAAAATGGTGATAGGAAAACGGCTTTCCTACAGGTTCCGGGCATCACAATCAGCTGGCCATTTCATAAATGGAAATGGATCAGTGTTTTGAAAGGAAATTGTTAAGATTTAATTTCATTAGGTACAATGAATGAGGATATTTAATTTTAAAATCATAATTTAACCATAATAAATAATGACATTTTAATAACATGGTGCTGCTTACATTTCTTGGCCATCTGTTTCAATCTGCCATATCCCTGACTGACCTTGTATTGCAACTCAGCGGATTAGAAGCGCCAGGTGATCGTGCAGTGTGCACTGAGTGAGTGTAGGCCTTGTGTGGTTAAAAACATTATTATGCCTTATTTTTCATTTAAATGCTAGGATGTATGGAAGAGATGAAATTTTCGATTTTATTACCATATATGGTCATCGCCCGGCGCCCGCCCACTCCAGCTGCTGATGCTGATCAATATTTAGTTTGGTGCCTCATAATTTCCCAAACTGAAAAACAATTGGCTGCCCCTTGCAATATCAATTTTCGAGGTCAAGATCTCCATAAAAGGAGAAAGAACTAAGCTCGCCTGAAACTAATTGAAAAAGGTCATTACGCTTCACACAAACACAAACTAAACCAAAACAGAAAAATCTTTGCACCATTTCAATTTGTTTCAGTTTGGTGGGCTTGGCGGTGGCCGTTCGGCTGGGAGAGGCCGGAAAGGTGCCATGGGGCTCGTAGCAGCGCGCTGGTCACTGAATTACCAAAAAATAAATAATAGAAATCAACAAAATTATTACCGATAGAGCCCCTTAATTCACTTGCTATAGGAATACGAAATAATAATATTAAAATGTCACAATTCCGACCAAGGCACTCCGACGAACGGCCACTAGTATATAGGGCCTTGCGGCCACTATGGAAACGGTGGAAACGTCTCAGGTACACCACCTCTGTCAACAAATTGAAATGGCAGCCCTGTTGTGCAGCTTCCATATGTAACAGAGAAAAATTTGTATTTGCATGAAGGACAAGCGTATTGAAGGACAAGGGGCGCCAAATACAAGAATTTGTGGTGGCTCGAAAGCCAGCAATCATTCAAGACCAGGGGCGGCGGATTCGGGGGGGCAGGGGGGGGGGGGCAGCTGCCCCCCCTGGCAAACTCGTGGGGGGGGGGCAAAAGTATCTTTTTGCCCCCCCATAATTTGTGACAAAGCTTAGACAAGAAACCATGTACCTGATTATTCTGTTCGATCATCTGAAGATGTAACCAGATGCCCATAACTTTATCATACGTTGCCTTTCTTAAATGGCAAGCGTTCACGTTCAATTGAAGTTTTCCTCTCTTCAACCTAGTTTTGGAGGCTTTATAAGCGTCAACGTGACGCAGCGGAAACCCAGGCCTTCAGTGACCGCTTCAGGAGCGACGGATACGGGGTGGCAGAGGAGGCATCGTTCCCTAAGAAACTTTTGGAGGAGGGGCAAACGTATATTCTTGCCCCTCCATATTGTGCCCTAAACATGAGGAAAATTTCCATAACCTGATATTGCAGCTATGCGCTCCTACAGTTTGTCCAACGGTGCCTTTTGAATATGTGTAAATGCTAACCATTTCCGCTTTATATCATTTTGTTTTTGTCTTTTCAGATTCGATTTATAGATGTGTGCAAGAGACGCAACTCATACCTTCAGTGGTCGTTTGCCTCTATTTTGTACCTACATAAATGCCAAATCGCAAGCGAGCGGAGACGGAATGGCTAGCCATTCGCTTGCGGGTAGTTAGGACTGATGAGCGCTCATAATAAGCCACTCCCCTGATTTCTTCGAGCGCAACAGTTTCCAGCGCATAAAATGGTAAACGCCGAGGTCGTACACATTGACGACATTGACCAATGCACGGTATGGTATGACACCCAAAGGCCAGTCATCAGAGATCTGCTTTGGGCATTCGGAGGCTTGTGTGGGGCCAGTGTAAAAACTGGATGTTCACAGTTCAGTATCCGCTTTATTTCAGTTTTCACTATTAAAAAAGTAAAAATTAGTGTTGGAAACTTTTGAGGGTTAGGGCACTGATCATTAGTGGGCCCCCCTCTGTCTAAAGGCTGACTATAGAATAAAGAGCATCAAACACGAACAGAAGCGGCGGAACACCTTCAATTAACCCGCGCCCCACTGGGGTCTGTGTATAACACGCCCTACTGGGGGGGGGGGGGGGGCTATTCATAGCCCCCCCTCCTAACTCCGAAACTACTGGGCCGATCGTCAAAATTCAAACGGCGTCTGATAGCCCCGGAAAAACTGTCGAGCGAAACCTAATTTCATTGACCTCGAGGTCACCGATGACGTCACAGGTCAGGTCAAAGTAAAAATTATTAGCACTTTGGCTTGTTCACATTTTGGGCTCTGGCCGCCGTCTTACAAGTCAGATCAGGCTCATTTTTGGTTTCCACACTCGTAAACAGATGCTCTAGATACCTTGAGGGTACCAAACTTGTACATTGATTTTCAGGTCAGGGTCAGGTCATCACAGGTCACGAAAATATTATATCATGCGTCGGTCACGTGACACATGTTTTATGGTCCATTTAGGCCATAGATTTCGAATTTGATGTCGTCTGTGTCATTCGAGGTCATTTTGAGTCGAATTTAGCTTAGGTCAGGTCACTTTCAGGTCAAAAAAAGGTCAAATTTTGAAGTTAAAATTTTTCAACAAAAAAGGTGTCTATTGGATGCAGTTTGAGCTCAGGAACACGATGGTGCCATTTATATTGGTGTACGACGTCAAATACGTACTGAAAAAGTGATTTGAAAAATTAATAATTGTGAATTTTTTGCAATAATGCGTATAACTTGGCCATTTTTGAAGATATTTAGCTAAAACTTGCTAGAATTAGTCATAATCATGCGTTCTGTCACATATATTCCGGTTTTTTCGAAAAGTCAAAAACTTTTTGAAAAAAATATAAAAATATAAATTTTGAATATTATTATATAAAATTTTTTTTCGAAATTTTCAAATTTTTGAAAATCCGAGATAGCAGTTTGATAGCGCGGTCAATTCTGAGTCCTTTCATGCAAAGAAATTGGATCTAGCTTAAAAACTGAGCTCTTGGGAGTGATTGCCGTGGTTCAATGTTTTGCGTCGAAATCGGACGAACATGACGTCACTCTGACGTCATTTCCGGCCGACCTATGGTAGCTACGAAGTTCAAATTTTGACACAAGGTGTCAAATTGATGCAGCCGAAGGTACTGAAAGTTTGGCGTCGATACGTCAAGCGGTTTGGAAGTTATTGCAGAAAAACGGGAGGGGGGCTATAAATAGCCCCCCCCCCAGTGGGGCGCGGGTTAAGGGCCTGCCGACTTTTGGTCCCATTCTTTCCATGCAACGCCCATAGCGCTAACGTTAAAATGCCAAAATCAAAGGGGGGCACGGTGCCCCGGTGCCCTCCCCGTTCCGCCGCCTATGAACACGAAAGCGAAATCTGAGGCATTTTGGAAAAATGAGTATGCCCCGCAGCGTCCGATAACTACCACCTTCCGGTGGGTCAAGCCAACGGGGCCCAAGGCTATAATGGCACTTTTATAACGATAGCACTAACCTTGTCTCACTTTTTGTTGAAGTCTGTTCCGAATGGTTTCGGCGACAGACTGGCTGCACTGAGGTATGTGCAACTTTAATTAAAGCCACCTGAGGCACCCTGACACCAGGCTGAATCTGGGTTGGAAATGCTCTTGCAGATATCACTGGCCGCTGATTCTCGAGTGCCTGAATCGGTAGATGTCGTGGCAAAATTTGGTGTGATAATTTGGACCTTACCGCAGTCAGCGCACCCTAAAAGAAACGCCCTACCCAGAGCTTCTGGATTCTCGTTTCAGTCCACCGTTCCTTCACCCCAGCCCACCGCCACGCTCCCTCACCCCAGCCCTCCGTTCCCAGCTTGACGAGCATTTGGGCCTTAGTTAAGCCTTGCTGTAGGCTAACTGTATAAACCCATCGAGACAGCCCGTCTCGGTGGGCTTAGTTGGCGAGCTACTGCCTTGGGGAGGGTTTCTGGCGGATCGCTGTCCCAATAGGTTTAGATGCGACCGACTGTCTCTGAATGTTTGAGCGGTCTCCTCCCGCTGTGAGCTAGTTGATATCTGTCTCAGAAATACTTTTTAAAGGAAGGTTAAACGGAAATCGAACGTAAAATGAACAGAGGAAATGCTAACGAGTTACCTCATTGAAGGAAAGCGCTCGCTTCTTCAAAAGGTTTGGAACCGTTCTTCAACATCTAATATGCGATCGGGTTATGGCACAACTTTTCCCATTGAAACTTTTTTTTTCTAATACAGCAATACGAAAAGCGTTACATCGTCCACTGGCGGATCCAGGGAGCGGGCATTTAAAACAAATATTTACTCTCCCTCCCCTGGCCCCTGCATCGCCCGAAATAGACAAAGCGTACCTTATGTTTCCTAATAATAACACTTTTATCAGGATTTTTTATTTTTTGCTTTATACTGTTCAGCAGTAGATCCGTAAGGAATCGGAATCCGAGGAGTTTTTGGATTTGGGACACTTTTTCGGGGGGTATGTCCCCTACAGTGTCGGAAACGTCTTTCTGGATCCGCCTATGACATCATCTCGACTGGGATCTTGCCCCCCCCCACGCCAAAATCGAATCCGCCGCCACTGTTCAAGACCATGTAATGGAGAACCATAGGCGTGGGAACCGGGGGGGGGGGGCAGTGGGGGCAGCTTGCCCCCCATCTCTGGGGTCGTGGTGGGGGCGGGGCGGTGGCCCCACAACTTTGAGACGGAATACCGCACTTTAGTGCAATGCTTCCTTTTCTGTCGAATAAGTCAAGGGATGAAAAATGGGTGGTGTAAAACCGATGAAAAAGAAAACTAGAATTGATGGTATCCTATGTTGATCTCTACAGGGTCCGGCAAAAGTCTTGTCGTATGTGGTATTCTAGTTTCTGTGTCTTCCCAGGCGCGTTTTGCCCCACCCAGCGTTTTGCTTCCAACGCCATTGTGTCAGCGCATCTATTGTGCCCCAGGGTATGGGACCACGGATAACCTAAGGGTCAGTGGCTGATTGTGCGAGGTCATTTGAGTAGCGAGCGTGCAGTTGAATTGAAGGCTGAAAACACCATGGTCAAATATTACGATGTCAGTCTCAGGAATCGAGCCATCGGCATGATTCAAGCGGGAATGTCGCAAAGTCTGGTCGCGAATAATGTCGGCGCCCCTCTCCGACCAGTGCAAAGGTGGTGGAAGCACTTAACACCCACCAAATCGCCAGAATGGCCGCATTTGTTTGGGAGCCCGACGCAGCCAGTGTGCCCACAGCTCCTGTCAAATTCCCAGCGAAGTTGATGGTGTGGGGGATGGTGTCACATTAAGTGCTCAGTGAAATGCTCCACGTCATCCCGCCCAAGACGAAGGTGGACACCAAGTATTATGTGGAGACCATCTCGGAGGAACTCCCAGAAACGGCTCTGTTCTGAAGCGACGGATGGTGGCTGAGAGGTCGAAAGCCATCTTCATGCAGGAAGGGGCTCCAGCGCATCGCTCTGCCACAGTCCAGCAGGGGTGCTGAGACAACCTGCCGCACTTCTGGGTGAAGGAAAAGGGGCCGGGGAACAGTTCCGACCTAAATCCCATTGAAGAGCTGTGGGCGATCGCCCAGAAAGACCTCGACAAACAGACGCCGGCAACCAGCCTCGCGCAGCTGGAGACGCAGCTCAAGTCTGCGTGGTCACGAATCCAGCCGTCTGTGCCCTCTTCTCTCGTGGCCAGTATGCCGAACCGTGTTCGCAAGTGTTTGCTTGTCCGTGGACAATACATTGAGCGCTGAACAACTTTTTTATTTACAATGGCTTGAAGTGTGGAACGATTTTAAAACTACGTCAAGACTTTTGCCGGACCCTGTATT